TCGTATCATCAGTTAGCTGAGTTTCTTACCGTTAGGAGGGTATGACACATTCATAGTTTTTTTAATATTAAGAAGCCCTGAGACACAGTGTCGTGAAAAAAAAAAAAAGAGTACCTGCCGGCGGGGACCTTGGGGCTTAACAGGTTTTAAATGGGAGATTTACAGTGAAACTGACAGACTCCATGAATGAAAGGCTTGTGACTGTCATTGAAAAGAAGGGTGGCTATATTGGTCACTGATTTTTTGGGGGAAATTCAGATGTTTATTTATATATTTTTAATTGTTTGTTTATTATTCTCACTTTGACAGATGGAAATACAGTAAGCAAGCGAGATTACAAATGTTTCGTTGTTTCCTTTAGTTGTATAATAATTATGCATAGGCCTACCAATAGTTGCGCAATAATTCTGCACACATAGATTATCTCCTAAGAAAGCACTTTTAGGTTTGAGGTTTATTAACATTTTGGATTTACCGAGAGCACTGTAGTTGTTCAATAATGAAATTAGTCCTCAAAAATAATACTTATAATTGTGCACACAGTGTACGTGTGTCAAAGGGAAGAAGAATGAAGGCATCCATGCAGGATTTTGATGGCAGCTAAAAATATATGAATTGTACCTCTTTCAAGTCCCAGAAGGGGGTCCCTGCAAACGGTCTCCCGACAACTTGCTCTCCTCCACATGCTCTACAGTTTCAGATTATTTCCTGTATCGTTCCAGACACCCACTGGTTTCCCTTGTTTTCAGCACAGCATAAAAGCAATTAGCATTTGCTTAAAACGTCAACTATGTCATGCCATAATGACTATTCATTTTGTTTGCAAGTTTTAGAGCCCTATAACTATACAAATGGGGTGTCAATTATACTTTTACATTTAGTAAGGGTTTAATTTGTTTTCCAAGCTGCCATTGGTTCCTATTTATTTTCACAAGGTGCTCAAATGAGTCAACAGAAACTTGGAACTTTCTTAAGTTCTGCAATCCATCATAATCAACAGCAAGTCTGCACTGATTTTCACTAAAGTTAGTGAATAGAGTCACTTACTAATTGTATTTTTAGTTCCCTTTCTGCTGCAGTAACCAGGTTCCCATGAACTTGACATAAAAACTTCCAATGGAGGATTGGTTGTAAGCATTATAGCACAGTTTTATTGAAGAATGTTAAAGGTTGTGCACTCCACACACCTCCTAGAAACAGACAGAAACAGTACGTGGGCAACTCCTTATTAACAGGTTAGATTATTAACTGGCCTTCAGGTGAAACTGCTCATTATAAAGTTTCAGCTCACTTTTAACACCCTATCCATTATGACTCAAAGCGTAGAACCAATAGGCTTGTGGCGCACTGTGGGGTAGGGAAAGTGAAACGACTTGCAATGTTCTTTCTTCTCAACTTGTCTCTCTCTGTCTACTACCAGTTTTATGGAACTGTCAACCCTTATTTTACTTTCCACCATGAAATGTGATGATAATGCTCATTTAAAAAGTTCAGATCTCAAGACGGTTGTTTTTGCTATTTATAATAACAATAATGGTAGTAAAGGTAATAATAACAACAACAATAATATGCATATAATAATAAAAATAAGGATAATATTAACAATAGTAATAATGATGCTAATAATAATAATATCAAAATAACAAGATGTGGCAATATTTTCTTTGTTTTGCATAACTTAAAATCTTATAAAAGCATATTAAAAAGTGTCTCTGTAGGTCTCAGATCTCCTTTGTATAACCTAGAACATGCAACAACGAAGATGATTGTGAGTATACAGTCAATAAGTACATTTTGTTTATACTGTAGCTTTGAATATGTTTGAAGAAACAAAGAATCAAACTAAATATATTCTGCTGCAATGTAAACAAAGGTTACAGTTTAAATGTGTGCAAATAAATATAGCAACATTATACAATAAACTGTAATGACATAAGGTAACGTGAAACTCAGTGCTTCCATAGACACAGTAGAACCTTTTATCCCACTCCACTGTGGGCAGAGAAAGCACTTTTTTGGAGGATTCCCTCTCCTCACAGCTTCACCGATGTGAAGTGTTTGATATATGTATTCACCCTATGAGCAGTCCATTGCTCTCTCCGAGTCTGACAGCTAATAACATCCAGGTGTTATGTGCCAACACGCTGCCAGAAGGAACATCCTACAGACAATTTCTGCATAGGCGGAGTTTTCTTTTATTCTTTTTTGAAAAATAAAGAAAGATCCCTCTGCTTCAGCGAAACCAAGCTGCAGGTGCAATCAGTGCAGTGCTTAAACCTTTTAATTAACTCCATCTATCATCATTAGCCAGATAGTCACCAGTCCAACAGTCTCACCGTTAACTCTTTGTGAGCAAAGCGAGGAGAAAAGTAAATGATGCACTGCTCTTCTTTGCGTTTCGGCCCGTCGCCGACAGCTCCCCTTCCCCGTGCTCAGTCAGTGTGGACCGAAACACATCAGTCTAAATCAGCTCCACTTTTATCAGTGTGAAACCACTGGCCTCCATGCTGGACTAAATACTAAGCTAAAACTAAAGCCTGCTGATGCATGTGATAGCATGCAGACTAATTGTTATAGTTTGCAGCATTCAAATGAGATTGACCTTTTGGTGGGGATATTTGTCATGTAACTGCTGCTGGAATTAGAACAGCTATATTTGTTCCAGGCATTGCAGATTAAATGACTTTGGCCATGTTGTTTCATTTAAAGTTATAAACGCCATTAAATGTCATTTCACAACAAATTGACTTTTACTTTTTGAGGTTGTTTATCATTCTGCTGGCTTTGTACAGACCAAACATATGACACACATAGAATCGAAGGAGTGAATATGCACCACTGAGAAGTAGGAGAGATAAATTAGTCTGAGATATTGAGTCAAAATGACGAAATATTGGACTTTTAGAACAATTTGAGACAAATAGGCCTTATCATTTACCAGTCTTATAGATATAGAAGAGGCCTGCTACACAAACTAGTAGGTTGTATCATTGAAAACAGTTGATCACCAAAAGAGAAAATACAAGAAGATTCCACTAATCTGCATTGACCGTAGTAATGACATGCGTTGTAAAGCATGGTGTCTTTGTGTTATCAACCTTATTTTTACCTTTATAGATTTTTTGTTTCAACCCAAACCACCTTTTTTTATGAACCCAACAAAGAACTGATGTTGCTTTAAGCTGAATAAGTTATTTTGTTTGTGTTAAATTGTTTAAGTTTGCTTTAGTTTTACATCTTGTAATTGTTAAGTTTCACTCAACTTTTACATTGCAGGTTGCTAACAATCAAAATGGGTATATATGGAGTGGATGGGGGTGCTGATGATGTTTTGCTTCCCATTTTTCTAAATTACCACAACGATCAAAGTGATATTGTGCAGTTTCATAACCA